TCCCAAGCCTTGCAATTTATCTCCTTAATTGTCTAATTGATTTCCTACTGGGTTGGTCAATCTATTTCTCATTGCAGTCATAAACTTTTATTTACTTCAGGAGACAGGAATTGGCTGGTTCACTTTTTTTCCATCATTTATAAAATTTGTTAGATTACAAGAGAGTTAAAGCCAGTGTGTCCATCCCTTTGAACTGTCATGAGAATTTGTACATGTCTGTGCTCAGCCATGACTCCATTTTCTCGCAGTTCTACAGAATATGCCTGCCCTTGACCCTGAACTTCTCTAGAACTATGCCTGCCCTTGACCCGGAACTTCTCTCAGTTCCTTGAAGAAAGGGACTCTATTTTCCCATCCCTGTATCCCCAGCACAATATTTAAAAATGTTTTAATGTTTATTTATTTTTGAGACAGAGAGACACAGAGCATGAACGGGGGAGGGGCAGAGGGAGAGAGGGAGACACAGAATCCGAAGCAGGCTCCAGGCCACGAGCCCACGCGGGGCTCGAACTCACAAACCATGAGATCATGACCTGAGCTGAAGTCGGACGCTCAACCAACTGAGTCACCCAGGCACCCCTCCCCAGCACAATATTTAGACTAGAAGTTTAATAACTTCCAGTTAAATGGACACAAAGACTAATGAAGGAAAAAATTAGAATAACTGTCTCTTGTCCAAAAAAAAAAAAAAAAAAGTTTCTGTGGAGGGAAAAATGTTAAAAGGAAAAATAATGTATTCAAGAAATGATTGCAGTGCCGTTATGAACAGCCTATTGTGATCCCCTAGCATGATACAATATCGCTCACACTTTCTTGCAAATAACCAGATAATTGATCACAGTGTTAGTTGCAGTATTAGTCAAAACTCCCTTGTTGCTACTCATGGAACATTTAATTTAGATGTCTTAGGGAAAGGAGAAATTTATTAGCTGATAGAACTCACAAAATATGAGGGGAAAATTCTGGCTTCAAGGATGATTATTAAATGACTCGAGTAAGGCTGAAGAAACTCCATCTCTGTGGTATCTCAGCTCTTTGGTATCTTCTCCCTCGGGCTGACTTTCTCTGTGTGGTTGCAACAGATTTATGTCCCACCCCCTCCCAGGAAACAGAAAGAGGACTTCTTTTACCTAAGAGCGCTAAAGGAAGTAGGTGCTACAATTGCATTTCAGTCCTAGTGGCCTAACTTGGGTTATGCGCGCATCGCAAGATCATGGGAGCGGGAGACCCCCCGATTGTCCAGGCCCGAGCCACACGACCATCCCTAGATCACGGCTAGAGTCAGCCCTACCTGAACTCCACCTGTGCAGAGAGTGAGGAAGAGGGGATGCCCCCAAGAAGAATCATAGCATAGGTCCGAGGGTAAGAGGAAATGGACACTGGGAAGCCAAAGCAGCACGCAGCCGCTACCATTGTTGTGCGTGTCCATAGTAACCCACGCCGTATGTTGGAGCCGGGCAACGCTGTGAGGAATTCACAGCCCTGTTAGATAGTAGCCATCACAGAACCACGCTCGGCTCCCACTTTGCTTCAAGCAGCAAAATCAGCTGTTGTTTAGGGACAAACCATGCCCGGGATCATACATGTTTTGGTAGCACTGATAGGAAAATTGATTAGATCTTCTAGGCAAGCAGCAGTGAATTACGAATACAGGTGCCCCTTGAACAACACCGGTCTGTACTGTGTGGATAATATGTGGATTTCTCTCATTCAGTACAATACAATTCTATACATGCGTTTTCTCTTCCTTATGATTTTCTTTTGTCTAGCTGGCTTTCTTGTAAGAATACAGTGTATAATATATATCTAACGTACAAAACCTGAGTTAATTTATTGTTTATGTTATCAGCAAGGCTTGCAGTCAACAGGAGGCTCTTAGCAGTTCACTTCTGGGGAGTCAAAAGTTATACGTAGATTTTCAGCAGCATGAGGGTTCAGCACCCCTAACCCATGCATCGTTCAAGGGTTAACTATGAAGAGCCTTAAAATGTTTATACTCTGACTCAGTGTTTATACTCTGACTCAGTGATTCAAAAAAAAATAGTCAAAATATATCAAAAGCTTCTTGAGTAAAGATGTTCGTTGTAGGGGCCCTTGGGTGGCTCAGTCGGTTAAGTGTCCAACTCTTGAGTTTGGCTCAGGTCATGATCTCACAGTTCATCAGTTAAAGCCCAGCATCGGGCTCTGTGCTGACAGTGCAGAGCCTGCTTAGGATTCTTTCTCTCCCTCTCTCTGCCCCTCCCCTGTTCATGTTCTCTCTCTCTCTCTCTCTCTCTCTCTCTCTCTCTCTCTCAAAATAAATAAAACTGAAAAAAATATTTTTAACAAAGGTGTTCATTGCAGTGTAATTTGAAATTGTCAGAAATGTTTACAGACTAGAAATAACCTAAAGTCCTAATGATAGAAGATGATGAAGTAAATTATATATTATGCATATCATTATATTTTATGCAGCCCTTAAAATGATGTCAAGGAATGATACTGGTAAGTGATATTATGTGGGGAAAAGGACTAAGTTTGCCACAATCTCGTCAATATTCAAAAATACTCAAATGTCTTATTTTTATGGCGCAGTGCTTCCAAAATCATGCAACATTTTATTAGAAAAGTAAAAATGTTGTGCAAGTAATTAGACCTGGCGAGTGGCTACTGTTTGCCCAGAGACGCTCAGGAAAGATTTTGAAAATGGGCCAATTGATTGGCTTCATATGGTCCAAGGTGCAGAACTTATGGCAAATAGTAAGCCCAGTCCAACCTGTGGGTGATGATAAGGAGAAAGTCACTTACATGAAGCTGACGACTTCCCAGCTTCCAGCTAGAGTGGAGACGGAGCTGATCTGGGCACAAGCAGAATCCCCTGGATCTGGATTTGGTGTCAAAGTCTGTGTGCACTCAGCAGTTAGAGAACTGTGAGGACTTCCACTCTCCTGGAGCTCACTTCACAATATACACATGTATCAAATCATCATAAGTATACCTCAAACTTACACAATGTTATATGTCAACCGTATTTCAGTAAAGATGGGTGGGCGGAGGGGAACATTGTGAATAATCCTGTCCAAGGAGTGTATTAGCACCCCACTCGTTCTCTCAAATCTAAGAATTTAGAGCTTTCCAAACCATACAACAGAACTCCTACTCCTTAAGTTAGTAGCTCAGAGGCTCTTAGTTAAGAAGCAACCAATTAAAGATGCCCTAGGGAGCCAGCGCCTTTTAAAAATACTGGAAAGTTTTGGGGACAGCTAGCATTGAGTTATTAAAATACACATTGTAAACTTCGGGCTTTAGAAGGAAATTCTAGATCCCTGCTGTGTTTTCGGTTTTTGCTTCCCACGGTGTTTCTTAATTCTTAGTTCGTATAAGCAATTGCCTTTGCAGCCATTGTACTGACAGGACTATTGATGCCTGGCAGGACCTTTTGTTTTTGTTATTGACGCTGATGCAACTTGAACTCTGTGAGTAATTAAGCAAACACTCCAAAATGGTTTAAGCAAATAAGGAAAATTAATGCCGTAATTAGCTAAAAAGTCCACAGGCAAGACTGGCTCCGGGCCTGCCACGATGAAGTGATCTAATACAATCACTGGGAAACATTTCTTTTCTTCCAGGGTTCAAGTCTGGTTCTATCAGTAGCTCGGCTTCTTTCTCAGATGGACTTCCCCACCCCACCCAGCTGTGGTCCTGAGGTAGCTTGTCTAGCTCCAGGCTAAAGGCTTCCAGACTCATTACCACAGAGACACAAAGCTTCTGTCTCCCAAATGTCAAACACAGGTCCTGAGCTCGGACGAGTCACCGTGTGCCCTTGGGAGGGCATACGCTTGGTTGCTAGTTCCAATCCGGGCTCATCCCAAAAGTTGGCCAGGTGGACGGTGGGGAAAGGCAACCCAACCCCAACCACATGGGCAAAGAAGAAGTGATGGGCAGGTCCGCTGAGGAAATGTGGGGTGCTGCCTTACCAGAAGAATGGCGTGCTCTTGACCCAGGCAAGCAAATCCATCCCAGAGGCAATTTAAAGGCAGGGACTGGCGTTTCCCAACCACTGCCCCCCTCATCTTGGGGTCAGGGCCACTTGGTTAGCTGTTCTGTTTAAACATGGTAGCAGAGGGGTGCCTGGGTGGCTCAGTCGGTTAAGCGTCCGACTTCGGCTCAGGTCACGATCTCGCGGTCCGTGAGTTCAAGCCCCGCGTCGGGCTCTGTGCTGACGGCTCAGAGCCTGGAGCCTGTTTCAGATTCTGTGTCTCCCTCTCTCTGACCCTCCCCCATTCATGCTCTGTCTCTCTCTGTCTCAAAAATAAATAAACGTTAAAAAAAATTAAAAAAAAAAACATTCAATATTCAAATGAAAGCTTATGTGCATTCAGGGAGGCCATGGTACAATATTGTACAATATTGCTTGTGTTGCATTCATCAGATCATGGATTAAAATGCATTTTCCAAACTTAACGGAGCGTGAAAGACAAAAATGCCTACAAATGACACAAAAGAAAGGCAGTGCAAGTGACTCTACTCAACTCAGTTGGGATTTTTTTTCACCTGTAAAATGGGAACCTTAAATGCGCCTTAACACACTTGCTGGAAAGATTAAGTACAAAACCCAGTACCCAATGCCTGGCTATCAGGTCGTTCAGTCACTCTGAGTTCCGAGGGCCTCCGTCTTAGCCCGAGTCCCCTCATCGAACTTAGCCTCCTTTCCAGATCAGCTGGATGAGGCCACGATGAAATTAGATACACAGGTGTAAACATCAAACATGCATTGCATACCCAAAGCCCAGAAATGAAACAGTGTGGAATATATCAAACGTCCCTTTAGATAAGGACAGAACGTAGATTCCACCCCCACGACCATGTCCAGTCTGTGAATCAGGACTGTCTTGTATTAGAGAGATTCCAAAGGTATGGTTATACGAATGGGTGAGATCTGTGGGTGTAAGGGGGAGGCCGAGGAAGGACACGGGGCAGCCCAAACCTTACGACATCTTGTCTGTGCTTTTCCTCTATAGACTCTGGAAAACCCCAAGTATGAACTGATCATCGAGGCTCAAGACATGGCCGGACTGGATGTCGGATTAACAGGCACGGCCACAGCCACCATCATGATCGATGACAAGAACGATCACCCCCCAAAGTTCACCAAGAAAGAGGTAAGCGTCTGCGGCCCCAGCGCCCCTGCAGGTCGCGGCCATGGTGGCCGATCCGGGTTAATCCCATGCACCACCTGCAGCCCCCGGGGCTGGCTTCCAGTTTGCAAAATCGAAACGCTGCTTTGTGGGAGAGGGGGTGCCGTTTCGCCGGAACGTTTTCTCCTATTTGTATCTTCTGTGCGCGTGTGATGCTGAGAAGCGCTTTGTGAGAAGGAAGGCACTGAATCTCGTTAAAGTCTTGCAAGAAAAGAGCTTCTAATGCCAAAGCGCCATCTTCATGGTTTTATCGGTGTTATTTCGCGCTGAGTTAGGAGAGGCCTGCTGTGATTTTAGCATAACAATAAGTTTTTTTTTTTTTCAGCAAGTACAGATTGAGAGGCCAGACGGAACAGCAGCAATAAGGTAGAGCAGATTTTCTTGGCAAAAACGAGGTGGCCCAGGAGCTTGTAAATAACAGCCGAGTTGGCTTGTCCAGGAGAGTCGCTATTTACTCTCACTCCTTGTGCTTTTATGATTATGGATCATGGCTGCCGGTCCCCCTTTATTCCAGCGAAGCAGTGTTTGGGGGCAGGCTGAGTACACAGAATCACATTCGGTTGCCGAGTTTGTATCCAAACTAGGAAGTTATTCGCACCATGGCTCTGACGGAAATGGGCAAATGTCATGGCCCCTTTGGGGGTCAGGGTCAGCAGCCAAAGATTCGACCCCCCCCCCCCCCCCCCCCCCCCACTTGCTGACCCAGAGCATCGAATCGGTAAAGACAGCCCTTGCCATTGGCAATGGGGCCTCCAACCTTCCTCCATTGCCTCGTTGGACTGCGTGAGGTTGGTTTCATTAACCACTTTTTGCCAGTAAGAGAGCTTCCTTTCAGCTCATAGAGTCTAGATAACTGCTCCAAGGTCATGGGCACAGGAAGTGACAGAAATGGGATGCAGAATAGGTCCCAGTGAGTCATACAACTGCTCCGTGATGTGTGGTTGATGTTTCCACCCTCCCTGCCATTCAGAAAAAAGGCCCATGTCTGGATTTGCGGTTAACTCACCCCTCTGTCCAGAGTCCCAGGGCCACCCCAGATGGCTCAGGAGAGGGGGCGCTCCGGCTCCCCAGCCCCCTGTCCCCAGACACACATCACTCGTTCGGGGTGGAAATCTCCCCTTCTCCCGGTGGGGGGGTCTGGCCGCTCAGGAATCCAACGTCAACATGCCAGTGGCCAAAGCAGCTGATGTGGCTTCATTCTACCGCTTTCCATGACATGTGCCTATGACTGCTCAAACAGATTGCTCAGTATTCCCGGGGTGCCCAAACTGGTATCCCCCCCAAAAAACTTGTTTCACGGGTTCCACCATTGTGGGGCAGGGGAAGACTTCGGGGTCAACTAGATGTGGGAAACACGGAGTTGAAGAGAAAGAAGGATTTCTTTTACTGCAGCACTTTGAGGTACCTTGAAAATGCTTTGTGTTTCTCTAAGAGGAGCAGAGTCTGTAGGGTTTTCCAGACCTTTCTGGCCCCAGGAATAACTGTTCCTGGGTGACCTCATTATGTCTCACTGAGCTGGTGTCCCATGGAATATTCACTGGGGATACTGGTTTATCTGCAGAATTTCTATTTCCGAAAAAGTCCTAAAGGCATGTTTTAATATTCAATAGAGACAGGAATGAAAATAACAATTGGATAATCCCAGTCTAAAGTAAGAAGGTCTATCAATGTTGCCAAGCGTGTGAGACTAATTAGTTATCTCAGCGTAACCCTGAACGTAACACCCGTCACAAACTAAATGCCTTGAGTGAGAGATGTGCATTGTTGTCGATACCGCTGAATTCAAGGAAAACCTGAACGTAATTCTTAAGTCGAGTAGGAGACCCTGAATAGCCTCATGGAAAACGGATTCACCTGTGGATGTCGGCAAACGCACAGAACTTCTCTTTCAACGGACATTGGACAATAAGCTTGAGATGCCCACAGGGCGAAAGTGATGTCTCAACTCATACAAAAATAAAAGGGATGAAATGAGAGGGACCAGTAGCCAGCGGGTACATGAAACTCTCCCTCTAGGACATCAGATGTCCCACAGGAGCCTTTGTCCAATGTTGGACAAATGAAATTCACAGTCAAATCTGCTAATGTGTTCCTGCATGCATTTGGGATGACAGAATGGCCAGAGACCGTATAACACAGAGGGGAAGAGGTGGGTTCTGGAACCAGAACTGGATTCAAGTCCCGCCGAGGATACAAATCTGTCAACCACCTATGTCCTCGTTTCTTCACCTGTTGCTGGGGTGGACGGCGGAGCCTATCTCAGTAGGTTCTTGTGACTGTTACGTGAGCCCGTGATGGAGAGCATTGAGATAGTGCGGGTCACCCACAGTTCTCTAGAGTGTCGGCAATGAGAAGAGTGGTAACAAGGCAGGTGGTGGTGAGGACAGTGCTGGGATAAAAGCCGTGAGGAAGGAAATGGTGGTGGGCAAGAGGAGGATATCATGGCGACGATGTTTCTAAAATGTAAAAGGTTGGGGTGCCTGGGTGGCTCCGTCAGTTAAGCAGCCACCTCTTGATTTCAGCTCGGGTCATGCCAGTCCATGAGTTCAAGCCCCCTGTCGGGTTCTGCACTGGCAGTAGTCCCAGGCCAATGTGGTGACACCGTGGCATCACCAGTTTCCGGATTCCTCTTATCTTTCTTCTCTACCTTCGCCAAGGCTGCCTCACAATACAATAGGGTCACTGCAGCACCAGCCATCATGTCCACATACCAGGAAGAAAGAAACGGGAAGTGAGAAGGGCTAAGAAGGACTTGCTACCTAAGTAAAAATCACCCCCAGAAAGCAACTTGGGCTCGTATGTCCTTAGCCTTCCTTATCTGTAAAGGAGCCCAAGAAATAACTCCATCTGTAGGTGGCATGTTCCAGTCTTGGACAATATAGAGATTGTTACTGAGAGAAGGAAATACTTTAAAGGTTTTTTTAGAAAGCCAATTCTAGGGCACCTGGGTGGCTCAGTCAGTTGAGCTTTGGACACTTGATTTCAGCTCAGGTCATGATTTCAGGGTTCATGAGTTCAAACCCCGAGTCGGACACCATCCTGACAGTGCAGATCCTGTTTGGGATTCTCCCTCTCTCTCTCCCTCTCTCTCTCCCTCTCTCTCTCTCCCTTTCTCTCCGCCCCTCCCCCACTTGTGCTGTCTCTCAAAATAAATAAATAAACTTTTAAAAATATTTTAAAAAGAATCATATGTTATCTTTTTTGACGTTGACATGGCAGTTCAAATCACAAGACATTTAAGTCTTCACCCAGGTGCTCCCTGGGTGATTCCCTCCTCTTCGTTCATTGGTTTCTCAAACAATTAAGGAGCTACTTTATTTCTTGGGTTAGAAGTGTACTTTTGCCTCTTAATCAACTGTCTGATGCAGAATGATGTTAGGATCACATCTATTTATTTCATTCCTTTGCCACTCCTGCTTCACATTCCATTAAGTATTTTTAATAACTTTTTTGAGATAGAAGTCCATACTGTAAAGCTCACCCTTTTAAAATGTATAATCATTGGCTTTTAGTAGACTCACAAAGTTTTGCAGCCATCACCACTATCTAATTCTAGAACATTCCATCACCCCAAAGAAACCCCATGCCCATTAGCAGTCACTCCCCATCCCCATGACCCCTAACAACTACAAATCTTCCTTGAATTGCTATGGACTCACTCATACTGGAAATTTCGTATAAATGAAGCCATGCAGTATGTACCCTTTTGTGACTTGCTTCATTGACTCACCATGTTTTCAAGCTTCCTCCGTGTTGTAGCATGTATCAGGACTTCGTTCCTTTTTATGGCTGAATAATACTCCATTCTATGAATTTACAACATTTTGTTTATCCATTCATCCACTGATGGACATTTGGGCTGCTTTGATTTTTTTGGCTATTGTGAATAATGCTGCTATGCACATTCATGTACAATACACTAAGTTTTTATCTGAATTTTCTCTCAATTCCCTAATAGTTAGAAAGAAAAAGAAGTTACCTATAATATTGTTCCAAATTGGGAGACTATAATTGCTTACCTGTTTTATTGAAACATTCCAAAATGTCTTTCTAAATTGCAGTTAAGGGGCGCTTGGGTGGCTCAGTGGGTTAAGCATCTAACTCTTGGTTTCGGTGGAGGTCATGATCTTGCGGTTTGTGAGTTCAAGCCCCACATCGGGTTCCATGCTGACAGTGTGGAGCCTGCTTGGGATTCTCTCTCTGCCTCTCTCTCTCTCTCTCCCTCTGCCCTTCCCCAGTTCACTCTCTCTGTCTCTCTCTCAAAAATAAATAAATTTTTTAAAAAAATAAATAGGGGCGCCTGGGTGGCTCAGTCAGTTAAGCATCTGAGTTCGGCTCAGGTCATGATCTCACGGTTGGTGAGTTCGAGCCCCATGTCAGGCTCTGTACTGACAGCTCAGAGCCTGGAGCGTGCTTCAGATTCTGTGTCTCCCTCTCTCTCTGCCCCTCCCCTACTCGTGCTCTGTCTCTCTCTGCCTCTCAAAAATAAAGAAATGTAATAAGAAAAAAAATCAAAAATAAATAAATAAATTACTATTAATACAGCTTATTCAATTTTACGGACTTCTTTTTTAAAAAGCATGTAACTTTTGTACAAAAAAGTACACAAATACTGAGTGATTTCATTCATTACAAGTCAAACACGAAACCCGTATCAAGAAATAGAGCATGATTAGCAATTCAGAAACTTCCTAAAACCCTTCTCAGTCGCCTGCCTAAACGTATATTGCTTAATCCCACATACTTGGAAGTTTCCTTGTTATTTCCTTTTATTGACATCTAGCTTAATTCCACTCTGGTGGGAGAACACACTGATATGATTATAGTCCTTTGCTATTTAGTGAGACTTGTTTTGCAACCCAGCATGTGATCAGATTTGATAAACGGCCCATGTGTACTTGAAAACAATGTGAAATCTACAGTTGTTTGAGTTATTAGTTGTTTACAGTTATTTTTGTTCAAAT